CTCTCCTCCACCCCCTTCCCCCTCTCTCACACACACAAAGGTGGAATCTTTACTTGTATTTCTCCATCTCTCTCTCTATATCTCTTTCTCTCTCTGTCGCTGCTGTTCATTATTAAATAGGAGTGAGTTATAGAGATTGAATGAGAGCAGTGATAATTCACTGAGCTCTAGCAACATGTGTGTGATTTCAGAAGAAACGATCACCCAGTTTGAAACAGCTTTAATGGAGCAAGGTAGCACGATCTTTCCTTCCTTTTAACACTGATTGACTCATCGATTTTTTCTGTTTCCTGACCCATTTCATTTCTGAGCGCAGTAGTTGATGAAGCACTCAAAAATACTTTTCAGGTTCACCCCTTTTTCCTCGTGTCCCTCTTAACACTATGTAGAGTTTAATTTCCTTACTTTCTTTACTTTTATTAAAAAATTCTCTTATATTAGCCTGCTGCGACATTTCTTCTTCCTTGTTACTAGCACCGACATTTTGACGTTAATTGTGTGATATATCTTAATTTATTTGGCTTTTGGCCTAATTTTCAAAGATGTTAATAAAGCAGATATCTTTTGACTTTTTCCTTAATATTAGAGTTAAACCAATAATGATTAGTGATAGGTTTGTTGTTGGAACTCTTAATTTATGTCTGGTTTTAGGACTTTTTGCTGTCGGTTGAGACCAGTCATATTTTGGGGATAGAATATAATTGAAACCTTATCCCTGATTCACCATCTAGCCTTACGATGGTTCTAAAACTCCAATTTTTTGAAATAACAATTTTCGTATCTGTTCCGCACTGCTATGAAAAATTGTAAAATTGGTTTTGGTATTTTGCCTATTTAAAAGTAAAAGGAAATGAGTAAACAAAAGGATTATAACAATTCTGTTTTGCACTGCTACCTAAAGTTCACGTCATATCTGTTGTTGTGTGTGAGTATTCTTAGTTTAGCTAAAATTTTGAAGTGAATGATAGGAATCAGTGGAAATTGGATTGATTGTTCATTTCAAGTTTGCATCTAAGCCATTGTGTTATAATTAATGAGTGGTTCATTAGATAATCTTCTCTCTCTACTTGCAGAATATTCATCAAGGCTGTCCAAGGGACACATATGTGCGCTTCCTAATGGCAAGAGAGGGCAATGTTGAAAAGGCCCATAAAATGGTCAAAACCTACTCTTTTAAGACTTTTTAATTTGCCTTCCATGTATTGGAGTAAATGATCTTTCATACCCGATACTTATATTTTCTAATGTTTCAGTTGGTTGATTCTTTGACGTGGAGGGTCCAAAGTGAGATAGATGATATTTTAGCGGTGAGTATTCTAGAATTTTGATATTTTTGTTGTGGCAATCAGTTGTAAAGGTTCCTGTCCTTATCAAGTCTAGTCTTTACTATTTATAGAGCTAAGAGCCTAACACCGTGCTACTAGTTTGGCTTGTAAGACAGGAATTTAACTGAGTTAGACTTTAGATGTGGGTTTTATGGTGGTATAGACCAGTAGAAAATCTTTTCAGAAGGTCCGCTACCTTTTAAATTGTGCTTCCTCAATTATGCTTAGGAGTGCAGTTGAAACTGTTCACACATACATACTTTTTTCACAAGAGTTGGTTGTATTTTATGCTATTATACATTCTTTTATGCTCGCATTAGTTGTATTTTATATTATATTTTAATTATTGTTGAACGTATCCTGAAAATTTTTGCTACTTTCCAAATTATTACATTACTGAGTCTAATGTTGATTCTTCTTTATTTGCTACCTCAGAAGCCTATCGTTCCTACTGAGCTTTACAGAGCAATTCGTGACTCTCAGCTAATAGGGATGTCAGGTTACACGAGAGAGGTACCCATTTCTGAAATAATGTTGTGACACACATTATTGTCATCTTTTGCTATTGATGCTCCTAGGGACTTCATAACTATTTGAGAATGCCGTTATCCTCTTTTTCAGGGCCTTCCGGTATTCGCTTTTGGTGCAGGTCTCAGCACATATGACAAAGCATCTGTAAGGGTCATTGAGATTCTTATCTTCCCTCTAGTCTATAAGATTTCATGTGCATTTACTTGTTCATGAACTTCTTGTTGAGATTCGAGTAGGGTGTTTGATTTGTGGATAATGGAGGTGTACTCATTGGATTAGTTTCAGAACCTTTATTGGCTGAATTTTCCTTGCTTTTTCTTTTTCTCTGTTTTTTTTTTCGTGTGTGTGGAGGGAGGGGAGGGCAGTGGGGAGAGTGGGGGGGAATATTATTTGTGGACGAATAAGTTCAAAATGTGTTTCTGAAGGTTAACTTGTCCCTTGTCTCTAGCATAAGAAGTACCACAGGTTAGTTGACGAAATACAGATTGGACAGGATATTTTATTTAATATATCTAATTTTCTTGCATAGCCTACAGCTACCCAGAAAATTGCAAGTATTCATAATTGTCTAAAAATATATCAAATAATCCCTCATCTCGTGTATGAACCTCAACATTCAATTTCATGCGCAATATAATTTTAAATGGCGTATGTCGAATTAGGATCAGATTTTCATGATAGTTATGTTCCATGAGGCAATTATAATTTTACACGTTGCATTAGTGAAATAGTTTGGTGGATGACTTAATTAACATTTGACATATCAATCATGCCCCCGGTATGTCTATAATAAAAATTGTACTGACTTGTTACCTCATGGACATGACTTGAAATTTCCGCAAAATTTCATGCCTCCGGTAAGACGTTTTTCTTTAGCTTTGGTTATAGAGTTCTCAGTTCATTGTCTTATTTGTTTTATCCTGGGGGAGGGAGGTTTTTATGCTTGGAACTCCTGGGTTTTCCTTGTTTTGACTCTTTCATTATAGTAACTATAGCTCTGCTGATAAAACAAGTAACAAGAGTTCGTCATTTCAGGTCCATTATTACGTCCAATCGCACATTCAGATTAATGAATATCGAGATCGCGTGGTTTTGGTAAAAAGGATTCATAAATCCCTTCCTTTGTGTGTGTGTACTTATAATCCCTTGCATTTTACTAAGTTGGTTCATCTGTCACAGCCTGCTGCAGGTAAGAAGTATGGGAAACACATAGTCAAATGTCTGAAGGTTTTAGACATGACCGGCTTGAAACTTTCAGCTCTAAACCAAATAAAGGTATATTCCAGTAAGAGTTCTACCCTCCTTTAGTTACGCTCTTTCAAAATATTATTTGATCAATGAAATTGTGGGAAAATACCAAATGTTGCTGATTGTTGATCTCGAAGATTTCACTTTTAGTTTTTTTTAAGTTCTTAGAGAACTTTCCGGCTAGAGCAAAGAACAAGAATATTTGTTTTGCTAGAAGAATATGTAGTTGCAAGACTATCTCTAACCATATAGACAGATACATATACTTATTTGAGAATTACCTTGGAGCCACTGCTGTTAATATTTGGAGCAAAATATATTAACTTATTGTTATTTCCCTCGTTCAGCTGTTGACTATAATTTCCTCCATTGATGACCTAAATTACCCGGAGAAGGTAGTTACATACTACATTGTGAATGCTCCATATATCTTTTCAGCTTGTTGGAAGGTTTGTCTGTTATTTATGTCTTTTGCTTTTTCAGTACTCTTTTATCAATTATTTCTTGCAAATTTAGAAGAGATTACATGTTTTGAATGACTAAATTCTCTAATCTGTTATGATTTCATTAGGTCGTCAAGCCTCTGCTGCAGGAGAGGACAAGAAAAAAGGTTCAGGTTTTATCAGGTTGTGGACAGGATGATTTATTGAAGGTAGCTGTTCTTTTACCATTGTTTAGTTGTCATCTTCTTCTAGGAGGACGTAGCTACATTTTGGCTATAGAAAATTGGTGAACTAATAAAGAAAGCAGCTATTCAGACTTCCCATCTTATAGAAAATGGTATAGCCATCCAGACACTGGTTTAGAGATACAAGCAACACTGATCAGTTGTAACTAGGAAAAATACGTCACTTGTCCTAAATATACCCCTATGGTTCCTTAGTCTGTAGTGTAGTTCATGATTGTGAGTGCACCACTTGGATAAACAACTTCTGGTTTCAGTGATCTATTTGAGAAGGTTATCTTGTATTACCTATTCTCGGAGTTGTTGAGAGATCTAACCGTCTTGTCTGGTAACATGTGTAGATCATGGACTATTCCTCGCTCCCCCATTTTTGCCGGAGAGAAGGTTCTGGATCTTCCAGATACTCAGGCAGCTCGAATCAAAATTGTTATTCCTTGGATCATCCATTTCACCAGCAACTTTATGATTACATAAAGCAGCAGGCTTTGCTTCGTAAACCTGTTAGGCCTATTAAACAGGGCTCTGTCCATGTGAATTTTCCTGATGAGGTCACCGAGGGGACTGAGTTTGTTCAGACATTGGCATCAGAATTTCAAAAATTTGATAATCAGAATGGGCTCGTTCAGTCGTTAGATGAACTTAATATTGATGATCATCGAGTATAGAAAGTTTTGGTCCGATAACATCCTAAAATAAGAGTTTGTGGGCCATCATGCACTTTACCGGCTAACAATTCTGGATCCTCATGTAAGTATACTTATTAATTAATAGCTCATGCAGTCAACAGAGGGCTTTCTTCTAATTAGTAGCCTCAAATTTTTATGTATTCTAATTGCACGAGGTGCGTCTTCAACATAAAACCACTAAGTATTGGGGATACGTGGATGACATTTATAATTGTTATCTTAGATGTACATAGAGGTATATGTTGCTCGAGCCTCGAGCTCTTGTAGGAGATACTATTCGTTTATCGCATGTATTAATAAATGTTTATCCGTCTCTGATGTTGGACCTTCTATATACTATGTATTGGTATTATAGCAATAATGTTCAATTAATCCTTAAAGCTGGTTGATGATCACAGATCTATTTTTTTTGTTTATGCAATTGTGAAATATGGCAGGACCGGACTAATTTGTAAGCAATCTTTGGTATATTTATGGGAACAATGAAGATTACTAAGTTAGTTTAGCTAAAGACGTCATACTAACTGAAGCAAGAAGAATAGAACGCTGCTTTAAAGACATTTTATACATAGTTTCAGTGCAAACAAATTGGTTAAAGTAACAGAAATGCAGCATAAACAAAACAAATGTCCCATATGGGAGGGTAGGAAATTTGCTTCATGTATCTCTCAGTTATGCACAAGCAATCAGTCGGTGCCCCTTTTGCCATATTAATAAAATCTTAGACTTGTTTATCAAAAAAGAAAGGTTCTCAACTTGAATTCTGGTTCTCATATTGTGCATGGATGATCACAAAACTGTCACTTCCTTTCTATTAGAAGATTCTCCAGCTACGTGATCTTATTGCTTTTGATGTTTTTTTCTTCAGTTGTCCCTCAAGGACCTTTTTGGCTGCCTCGGCCATCTCTGCTGCCTTTAAAGCTTCCTTGATTGCAATTTCTATGTCCCGCTTCTCTTTCAGACCTGCCTCCACTTTCACGAGTGCTTCCTTTTCATTGGCAGTAATGGTCTCTACTTGAGCCATGGCAGTAGCAACCTTTATGTCAGCCTCATTTCTGATTTCTTCCACTTTTTTGCTTAAAGCTTCGTATTTCTCAACTGCCAATTTGATCTTTCTGTTAGACTCTGAGCTTATCAGATCAGAAGCGTCTTCTGTTATTGATGAATTGTGAATCTGATCACTTGCGAGCGTCTCTGCAGCTGCAACTTTCAGTCTTTCCTCTGCTTCCTTGACTTCAGCTCGAGCTGTTACAGCCTCTTGTCTGAGTAATTCCGCCTTCTTCTTCATCTCTTCTGCTTCCTGTAGAAAATGAACAGCCTCGGAAGTAAACTGTTGGATTTCTCCCTTTGGCGTTTTCGCTTCAAGCTCTTTCTTGCTGTTATCAAGATCTAACCGCAAGTTCTCAGCAAGGGCTTCTGCTTCATCTGCCTTCTTTTTAAGTTGAGAGTTATGTCCCTTGAAGCTATCTAATTCTGATTGAAAGGAATCCACCAGGCTTCTGAAAAACCTTTCTTCGGCTACTATCTCTTGAAATGCCTTTTTAGTACGATCAAGCTCTGAACTTGCTTTGGCAAAAGAATCCAAATCCGAGGTACGGACATTGTTGAGTTGTTCTTGCAAGCTTTCAATCGCCTTATTAGTTTCCTCAAGCTTCTCCACTAGATTTTCGTCCCTGATTTTCTTCTCTGCTTCTTCCTTAGCTGTCCTAAGAGGAGATTGTTCTTTATTTGCAACAAGCAGATATCGATGCTCATCTAGCTCGCTGTTGGATTTCTCATCTTGGAGTTGTCTGGCTCGTGCCTTTGCAGCTTCGGTTGCCTCAATGGCTGCTTGCTTTGATTTGCATAACGTTTCGAGCTGGCTTGTGAGTTCCTGCAGAGTTATCTTGGCATTTTCCAGCTCACGGAGAGCATTACCTTTTGTAGTTTCTGTGCTTTTTATCTGTTGTTTGAGGCTATCAAGTTCTCTGAGGGCCAAGTTAAGCTGACTCTCCTTCTATAAAACCACAATCAAGTCACGTGTTATTTATTTATTAGTATATGTGAGAATGACTTTACTATATACTAGCTATTACTCCCAGACGTGTTATTGCATACCTACCTCTTCAGCGGTTTTTGATTTCTTAAAGGTAAGAGGCTTAGCCTTGGGGGAGGAACCGGTACCAGCTTCGCCAAACAAACTAACAGCAGCTCTGACGGATTGGAAAGGTGATCTCGTATCAATCTCTCCCACCTCGCTTCTAGGGGAACCACCGATGCTTCGAGTTACTATTATTCTCGGCGAACCTGTTGGACTCGACGTTGTAGATCTTGGAGAGCCTGACCCATTTTGCCGCCTGTTTCTCAACATTGTGTCTTTCTTGTAATTCCTCCTGCTGAATCCTGCAAAAGATCATACATACATACATACCATGGCATGTTAAATGAATTATGAGTTTCCAAGTTTTAAAACTAATGCACCATAAAACCATTCGAAAACAAGTTTGACAATCTGACCCGTGTCATTACGTTTTCTTATCCAAACCAAAACCCCCCCTCCCTCATCATCTAGAACCAATATACAATATAATAATTATTCCAGAATTTTGACTCTTCCCATTCCCAGAGCCAATATGTTCCTATTCAAGAATTGAAAGAATCTGCAGGTGGAAATTTTACTGCTAATATGGTCAACCAACCATTAGAGAAACGAGATGGACTCGAGATTATGGTGTCCAATGCTAACCATGTGATCGTTATATTCACATTGCAGGAATGCAATAAATCAGATATAACTAAAGGATGGAGTATAGAAAAGGTAAAAATGAACCTGACAGGTTAATTAGCAAGCGGCTCACTTCTTCGTTAAAAAGGAGATGTCAGGATCCAACAGACTGCCTTATGGCTAATGTTTTATCATAGGTATCTCAATGATGTCGAGATGCCTTTGTGTTATATATACGTAAGATGTGTGGTAGAACTCAAAGCTTCAACTTCAGGTCCTTGTCTTGATTTCTCCGTGTTGGGAAGAGAAATGATAGCGGTAAGAAAACAAAAAAGGGAAAAAGACGAAGATGGTTAGGAGGAGGGTGGTTCATATATCTAAAAGTGTTTTATTGCATCATGCAATGGCATAAAGCAGCCGTTTTACTTTTAGGAATATACGAGGTTTGAGATCTTGTTTTTTTTTCTTTTAATTATTTGTTGGACACAGTACTTCCCTTCCAAGAATCTTTAAAGGTATTTGCGGAATAAGCGCAAAAAGAATGGCTTCATTGCTCACCATACAGATGGTAGTTGAGGAGAAATGGCCGCAGAAACGACAGCCTTCAGAAAATGTATGGCTCATGGCACAGTAATTGGGAATTTTCTTAATTTAGCATTAACTTGTTGAATAATTTTTGGGGATGAATCTTATAATTAAATGAATCTAAAAAATCTTACAATCTTCTGGATTTTCTTACGTATAATTCTTAATGAAAATCATAAAGTGGTTCATTTATAATCATGTATTTTATTTTAAAAGTCCCATATGAGATAAAGATTAGTCTTGGCTTATAATAATGATAAAAGAATAATGCGATAGAAAATTATCTTTGCTTGAATTTAGAAGGTATTTTGACTCAGATGGAGTCAACAAATGGACATTTTTTAAAAATTTTGAAATGGACAATTTTTTAAAATTTTTTGTTTTTTATTATAACATATTTAATTTTATTATTTTATAGATATTTTAATTCAAAAACAATAACCAATAACTAACTATTAACTAAATAACTAAGTATTAATTACTTATGCCATGTTGCTTTTTCTAGGCTGCCACTCGGCTTAATGTGGTGCCTTTTTCTTTGGCTTTTAATTATATATAGATTATGATTGTAACTCCCACACATCCATAACCCCTCCCCATGATCTCAATAGTTAATGTCATGTTTAAGATAATTCTTTTGTAACCTTCTATGTAATAGTATAAATAGACGCATGAAATGTGATATGGGAAACACTTGATGAAATAAGAAAGTTATCTCTTCTTCTCTTATTCTATTACTTATCTTCTTGTTTTATATTGTTACTTTTAGCTACATTTTTTAACACGTTATCAGCACGAAGTTTAGCTCATTTCATTGTTCAAGTATGTTTGTTCATTCTGTTTTCTTCGTTGTATATTTTGATTTCATGATTATTGTCTTTAATATGCAGTTTTATAATTTCTCATATCTCTAAACATGTGTAAAAGTAGAGAATTCTATGTTTCTTTATTTTAAGTTGTTTACATGATTGTCACGTGAAAGTTGCTAATTTTCATGTTAATAGAATGAAATGAGAGAAGAATACTTGTTATATGTTGTTCGACAATTGAAATTGTGTTAAAAGTTAGAAGACATTTTTGTTCTAGTTAAAATCAAAGATATATTAATAATTTGAAGGAAAAAAATAGTATTCTTTTCTATGGAATTATCACTTTAGTGTATATAGATCAAAATTTTGATATTATGTCAATCGTTTCTTTAGGCTTTTATCCTAGTGATTTCTAATTATTTATCTTCTTTGATAGTTCACTATGTCGAATTTGTCAAAGCTTGAGTTTGTGGCACTTGACATTTCTGGAAAGAATTACCTATCATAGGTTCTCGATGTTGAGATTCACTTAGCCGCTAAAGGTCTTGGTGACACCATTACTCAGGGTAATGAGGCATCAAGCCAGGACAAAGCAAAAACCATGATTTTCCTTCGTCATCATTTAGATGAAGGTTTGAAGGTTGAATATTTGACAGTGAAAGATCCACTTGAATTGTGGACTGGTATGAAAGAAAGGTATGACCTTAAGGCTACAGTATTGCCAAGGGCTCGATATGAGCGGATGCACTTAGGATTGCAAGATTTTAAGACCGTAATTTCGAATAACTTCCCAATTAAAATTATATGGGGATGTTATGAATGATGAGGATTTGTTGGAAAAGATTCTTACGACTTTTCATGCCTCAAATATGGTATTACAGCAGCGATACCGTGAAAAGGGTTTTAAAAAGTATTCAGAATTGATCTCATGTCTTCTAGTGGCTAAGCAACATAATACCCTTTTGATGAAAAATCATGAAGCCCATCTCACATGGTCAGCTCCAATACCTGAAGCGAATATGGTAGCGAGACGTGATAAGTCTAGAAAAAGACAGAATAATTATCATGACCATATGAATATACGTGGGCATGGCAATAGAAAGAGACGATATAATAATCGTCATTGTGGTGGTCATGGCAAACGAGAGAACAATATGGGTTCTCAAAACAATCCTTCAAGAGGCAAAAGCGTTAACTGGCACCGCTGTGGCATGAAAGGTCGCTGGAAAATTGAATGTCGTGCACCTGAGTATTTTGTCAGGCTTTATCAAAATAAAAGCAAATAATATTGGAGCATCTTCTGCTAATGCCCCAGCGGAGTCTCACTTGACCTTTAAAAATGATTTTGAGGCAGGGCCTTCAAACTAAAATGATGATAATGCCAAAGCAAATTTTGTTTTGAATAAAGATGATTTTGAAGGCCTCGATGATCTTACTCATTTGGAAGTTGAAGACTTCTTTAGGGATCAAAACTAAAGTTAGATCATTTTACTGTGGAATGCAATTATGTTGTTATTTTATTTTCAGTATTTGTTTTTATTTTCAATTAGTACTTAAGTTGTATTGTTAGTTTTTCCGTATTTCTTATGGTGTACTTTTATTTTTATGAAGAAAATAAAATTTCCCAATCTTCAATTGGATCCAAGATGAATAATGAAGATTTATGCCTTTTGGATAGTGCTACAACTCACACAATATAAAGAGAAGAAATTTCTCTTATTTGGTTATAAAAAAGGCCTATATTAATATAATATCTAGAAGTACAAAATTAATTGAGGGCTCTGGAAGAGCAACCTTGTTACTTCCTGGAGGAACAATATTGACTATTAATAATGCATTGTATTGTAGTAAATCTCAAAGAAACTTGTTGAGTTTCAAAGCTATTCGCCAAAATGGCTACCATGTTGAGACCTCTAACGAAGGAAAAGTTGGATGTCCACTACTCCCACTACTTTCACCCATGATGTAAATAATCTCCCACTACTCATCACTATTATGATTGTAACTCTCACACCTCCATAACCCCTCCCCCAATCTTCCCCCATTATCTCAATTGTTAATGTCATGTTTAGGACAATCCTTTTGTATCCTTCGATGTAATAGTATAAATAGAGGCATGAAATATGATATAAAATACACTTGAACACTTGATGAAATAAGAAAGTTATCTCTTCTTCTACTATTCTATTACTTATCTTCTTGTTTTATATTGTTACTTTGAGCTACATTTTTTAACAAGGACTAAACGCATGCGCTGGTCTTCAAGTGATAAGGTACCCCTTCCCGATGCTATTGTAGAGCATATATGAAACCCTTTAACCAATTTTCATGACCTTAACCGAAAATGGAGAATAGCAAAACCTTTTTTTTTTTCACCCCTCCCAAATTAGGAGGATCTATAGTGTTTCCACACTTCCCCTCCAGCGTGACTCAAACCCAGGACCTAACGGTCGTGGGTGGGGGTGCTTTTACCAACTGAGCAAGTCTCACTTGTCAAACCTATTTCGAGAAGTGAACCAAATCAGTCTGATAGCACACAGAAATGGATTTGATTCCATCTGGCTGCCGTTAGCTATTGTAAAGGACTAGGAGAAGTAACGTTCTGACGAAGAGTTAGCTTGAGCACAACTAGTTCTCGAGTACATTCTACAGATATGGACATTTGAGTTCCAACAGAAGCTACAAGCTCTGGCTCTGCTACTGGACATACCACACACTAAACACATGCTAAATCTTTGACATCTCTTTCCAGCTACAACAAGAAAGTATCTTTTCTACAGCTCAAACAACCCTAACTTCAACAGATCAATCGTTGTCTTACTTGGAGGGAGCTGCAGAGGGAAGATTGATCAATTTGATCTTCAATTCTATATCCCCAGACTCCACCTCACAGAGCCTCAACCAAACATCTTGCACAACCTCACCATTCACCCAATTGATACTGCTGTCTGCTGCTAGACAGTTATCGCTCTCTGGGATAACCTTCCTCAGTGTTGTCCCTTCACTGGCAATCCCAAGAATCTTTCTCAATCTAGCAGAAGCAACTAAAGGCTGAAGGCTGAGATGAGCATTTCCCATTTTGTCATCGGCCTTGAAACGGTCTTTATCAAACACTTGCTGTTACAATAAAAAATTCACAAGTTGAAAAGAAGTTTATATGAAGTTTTGAAATGGCTGCTCAGGACATTATAATGATCCCATTTCAGGTAGAAAAATATACAACCCTAAAGACAAGGCATAAAGCCATGGGAGAATTTTTTTTTTTAGCATAGAACAGTACCTTTTGTACATCTAAGTTTATCTTTAACATACAATGTAAATCATCATGGAAGCATAGAAATGCAAAATGCGTGCCCAGCCACTACAAAGCAGGATCACAGAATAGTGGAGCAACAGTTCAGTAATAGCTAGTTTCCCAGAATGCCCACCTTTTGTACATCTAAGTTTATCTTTAACATACAATGTAAATCATCATGGAAGCATAGAAATGCAAAATGCGTGCCCAGCCACTACAAAGCAGGATCACAGAATAGTGGAGCAACAGTTCAGTAATAGCTAGTTTCCCAGAATGCCCACCTTTTGTACATCTAAGTTTATCTTTAACATACAATGTAAATCATCATGGAAGCATAGAAATGCAAAATGCGTGCCCAGCCACTACAAAGCAGGATCACAGAATAGTGAAGCGACAGTTCAGTAATAGCTAGTTTCGTAGAATGCCCTAAATATAATTGTGGATAACCTAAAGACCTGTTCGGCTAACTTATCTGTTCAAACATTAGGATAAGAAAATAAAACTATGCTATCATTATAATGAGAAGATCATCTCCTTTTTTTTCTCTTTAATAAGTAACAATGACAAATCCTCTTATAACTCTGGCTCCCAAATCACAAACTTTACCATGAAAGTAGGAAACAAGTTAGTACAAAATGGTATCGACGTGGTATAGAAGAATACATTTTTGGACAGCCAGCTAAAAGGGGTGGTTTGATATTATCTTCTCCCCCTACCCTGTAACCCCCCCCCCCCCCCCCGGTTGATTGTTTTTCTATTTGTTTCGTTTGCATAGTTTCATCAAATTATCTGCCTGATCACCACTTAGAGGTGGAAAAATTAAGTAAGAAATGGGTAATGTAATGTTTACCTATTCCAAAGTGCATAATCACTAATTTTCACCCATTCATGAATTGCCTTTATATAATCTTTCACACAGTTACAATATGCTCACGGTGTAACTTGGAGAGCTGGCAGAGCAAAGTATAGTAAAAAGGGAACAGCAGTTTTAAGAATCATCCATCTATGCATCTTTTAGACGTTATGGTTGGAAGGAAACAAGTCATGTTTTGAAGGACAAGGAAGCCATATCTCTAGAATTAAGAACAAATGTCTAAATAATTTGTTTTTTTGGTGTAAGCGTAGCATATTGGAAAACGTGGAATGAAACTTGGACCTTCTATAGATGCTAGGGAGGAAATTGTAATAGGCTGTCTTTAAGCCTTCTTTCATGTACTTTTGTGTACCATCTTGGTACTTTATTAAATAAAATACTTTACCTTATCCAAAAAAAAAAACTGATGGTTGCCACCTCTCAAAAAAGGACCAAATTAACATCCTAAACATAGTCCTTTTGTGCCTTTTATATTTTTGCATTCAAACGCATGGTTAACTCCTATTGAATTACTTCAAAGCATCACATTTTCTTGTCCACTCGATATTGTGGTGTAATTCTTGAGCGTGGACAATCCCAGAGACAGATTCCTATGAATGATAATATATTGCATGGCCGCTTCAACCAGATGTACACCTTGAGCAACATTGAAAAGTTCGTGTGCACTTTCTTCATAATATAATTTTGCCCACAAAACTACTATATAACATCTCAGCAGCAAACTTTTTTTTTTGGTAATTAAGTAATTTTATTTACCAAGGGAAAATATATGTACAAGCAAAACAAAACCCATAAAGTTGGACATCCCCAACTTTTTACATTCATCTTCTCTTCCTCCCTATCTCAGCAGCAAATTAATATCACTTCTCTCGACATGAAAGATATCAGAAGCCTTGATACTATACAGAGACGTTCCTTTGCTTCAAAAAAAGAAGTTGCCAGGTAACTCTAGCGAGTACATTGGAGAAAGACCACACAACATCAGCTTACTGTACTAAAATCTTGTCCGCACTGCAAGAGATAGACCTTTGAGTAGTGCTGTTTCTTGTAAGACCTTTCTCTTTGTCTTTCCAATCACTCACTCCAATTTAGTTTTCCCTCTTCTATTTATTCATTTCATGTTCTCTTTATTAGTTTATTGACCTAGAAAAACATACGACAAAGTTCCGAGGGAGGTTCTATGGAATGTTTGGAGGCTAGAGGTGTACATGTGGCATACATTAGGGCGATTAAGGACATGTATGATGAAGCCAAGACTGGGTAAGAGCAATTGGAGGAGACTCGGAGCACTTCCAAGTAGTGATGGAGTTGCACCAGGTATCAGCTCTTAGCCTATTTTTTACTTGCTTTGGCGATGGATGAATTGAGTAGCATATCCAAGGGGAGGTGCCATGGTGTATGCTATTTTAGGATGACATAGTATTGATTGACGAGACATGTGGTTGTTAACGCTAGGCTGGAGGTTTGGAGACAGACCCTAGAATCCAAAGGTTTTAGGTTGAGCAGGACCAAAACAAAGTACTTAAAGTGCAAGTTCAGTGACGTGACACAAGAAGCAGATGTGGAAGTGAGTATTGATACACAAGTCATCCCCAAAAGAGAGAACTTTCAAGTATCTGGGGTGGGGTCAATAATCCAAGAAAATGGGGAGATTGACGATGATGTCACACGTCATATTAGAGTTGGGTAGGTGAAATGGAAGCTCGTATTAGTTGTCTTGTGTGCTAAAAAAGTGCCACCAAAACTTAAGGATAAGTTCTATAAAACAATTGTTAGACCAACTATGTCGTATGGGGCGAAATGTTGGTCAATCAAGAACTCTCGCGCTCAAAAAATAAAAGTAGCGAAAATGAGTATGTTAAGATGAATGTGTGGGCAACACTAGGAGAAATATGATTAGGAACGAAGATATTCAGGACAAGGTGGGAGTAGCCTCCGTGGTTGACAAGATGAGGTAAGCGAGACTCAGATGGTTTGGGCATGTGGAGAGGAGATGCACAGATGCCCAGCGAGGAGGTGTAAGAGGTTGACTATTGTGGGTCTGAGGAGAGGTAGAGGTAGGCCGAAGAAGTATTGGAGAGAAGTGATTAGACAAGACATGGCACATCTTTAGCTTACCGAAGACATGACCCTAGATACAAGGATATGGAGGTTGAGGATTGGGTAGAAGGTTAATAGATAGTCAAGTTTGGGATACCGTATCTGTTTCACGTTTCCTTATCAGTAGTATTATTATGACATTTCTTGTTTTATCTTAGTCTTTGATTTCTATTACTACCAGTTGTTTTCTCTTGTTTCGGTTTTCTTATTGCGTGTTATTTTGTTGTTACTTTTCTTGTCTTCATTATTTTCAACATGGCTTCTTTAATACTCCCTCCGTTTCAATTTAGATGACACACTTTCCGTATTAGTCCGTTCCAAAAAGAATGACACATTTCTATAATTGAAAATAATTCAACTTTAAACTTTTCACTTTACCCATTTTACCCTTAATGAGAAGTTTTTATAACCACACAAATGTCATGGCCCCACAAAGTTTTTACCCCTTAAGCTTTTAAGACCACAAGTTTCAAAAGTTTCCCTTTTTTCTCTTAAACTCCGTGCCGAGTCAAACTAGCTCATCTAAATTGAAACAGAGGGAGTACTTTTTTTGCCAAGGGTCTATCGAAAACACAAGATAGGGGTAAGGTCTGCGTACACATTACTCTCCCTAGACCCCACACTTTGGGAATATACTGGGTATGAGTGATGTTGTTCTCTTCGTTAGCTTCTCTCCTTTTCTCAATTTTCTCTGGGTTTTTTTACCTGTCAGATGTATAAAATTAAGCTTGTGGTCTCGCATCAACAATTATCTGATTATCGTCCTTGGCCTTTTAATTCAGAATTAGTAATTCGTGGTCATTTCCCCAAGTGAAACATATAGGATCCAATGATACCTTTAAGAAAATTATTTTTTTAGTTCTTAATGCTATATATACACTTATTCCGATGATATATCTCAGATAACACTCGAGAAATGCCCCCTTTCCCAATTAGTCCGCAGCTAGATTCCAATATTTCCGTTTATCACATTCTACTACTCAGATATACAAACATCATAAGTATGTAGAGCTTAAGGACACCTTTACCCAACCTTCAAAGTTGTAACATTTACGCATGATGCCTAATCATGGAACATCAGACTGGCTCAGGTAACAATCCAAGATAAGTCGGTTGACATGCAAACTTAGGAAAATATAAGCATGCAGTATGTCTAATTAAACTCTATGAATAACAACATAAAGTACATGAAATTCAAAGGTAGAAACACTTACCAATTTGAGAACCTCAGCAGGTTCTGAAAAGGAGAAATCAAATTCTTCGTTCCAAACAGGATTAAGGCAGCTATGTATGACCTTGGTTTTTGCAGTCTGGTACAACAAATAGATGCAGTATAAAATAAGCACCGGAAATCAACTTCGATAACTGCCATGCAACGTGACGAGTAGCATTACACTTCACCCAGCCAAATATATAAGCATGAGTGCATGACATACAACATACAATATATCAAACAATTCCCTGCATATGAAATAGATTTGTGTTCGGTATTGAAAATACAGACAAGGGGGGATGCACGTTGCTCCAAGCGGTATCATCCGATACCACTTGGCTGAAAAATTAACTAAAATTATGTGTAAACAATAATTAAAAAAAGAAATTAGAAGATAAATTAATTAGGATGACACCGCTAGGCAAAGTGAAGCATCCCAGTCCAACGGTCACACTGGTGCCTTATCAAGCTTTAGGACACAAGTTTGATTCTGTAGATGGGTGCTTCATACAATTTTTCATACAAATAAGATCCTCAGAATGACACAAAACGGTTGTACGAACAAAGACAATTCAAGGAAATCCAAGAAGAAAAAATAAAGAAAGCACAAACACAACCATCACTCTCTTTTTCCTTCCAAATCAATCATGGCTCTAAAGACACTTCATTATTAACGACTATATATCTCAAAAATCAATAAATCTTTTTGTTTAATTTCTTAATATATTCCCATAAATACTCCATATTGTTCGCTCATCTACTCTCTAACTTTTACTTAATTCCATATCCAACTTGAATGCCACACTCCCTTCTCTCACGCTTTAGTCTCCGCAGTGGCATATCTAGGTGGGGGGCCCCGATTCACGCGCACCCTAGCTCTCCTCCCTAGATCATGTACAGTAATGCTATATTTTTTCAAAAGTACTTAAATATATATGTATATATGTGTGCGCGCACGTGCGCCCAAGATCAAAGTGCATAGAGGCGGACATACGTTGCATGTAAAGGGGTCACGGGACCCCGTTAGCCTCGGAAAAAACCTTGTATATATATGTTATATATATATATATATATATATATGTGGACCCCTTAAATATTTTAGTTGTGCCCCGGACACTAAAAGGCGGATGGAAAAAGTGGTTATGTTGGGCGCTTCAATTCCCTTGTTTGCTGGATGATCCGGGTTCGAATCCCATCTTTACTTTTTTTAGTTAAACTCTAATTGAATACAACATACTTTCATACTTAATAACAAATTGTTTTATTTTTTTCTTTATTCTTTTTCTTTTGAATTCAATTATAGTTTAGTTCTAACTTCTAATACATAATAGTCAACTTAATTAAAAAAAAAATCAAATTCATCCCTTAAAATTAAAAGCTTCAAATTGCAACTTATCACTCCACAAATAGAAAAATACAAATCCTTACGCCACAACCTTCTTCATCAATCACTTTGACTCTGACTCGGCAGTGGAAACTAAGAGTTTAAGACTCTTCTTTAGTTTTTTTTTACTATTAACATACCCTTAATCTTGATTTCTTTAAAGTTTGAACGTCGTTTTGATCACTGGCCCTTTATTTTATTTAAAAAAAACTAGAAATTTTAAAGTGCGAAACATGCTTAATCAAACATTTTCCCTTCCCATAGCACCCATTTTGCGAAGAAATATCTCTTTGTTCGGTGCTTTCTTTTCTTTAGAACTTCTTTTGTTTATACGTGGATGATACGTCAGTATAATCATTAAGTTTTCAAAGAGTTGCGCGCCGAATTTTTTCGCTAGTGATTAGCACACAGTGGTGCCCCGTCGTGCTCAAATCCTGGGTCCGCCTCTGATGGTGCAATGGTTATTGGGTGAACCTCTCTAAGTGAGGTCGGGGGTTCAAATCCTATGTATATCTTGTTGTTTTTTCCTTTCTTGCATTAATTAAGTACTTTTTTCTTTTTCTTTCTTTGTTTGTTCGGTATAACACATTGAAATCCCTATTTTCCTTTTGTCATCGTAAAATTTTAAATAATTAAAACAAATTTATATATCAAAACTAGTAGCAGTGGAGGATGTAGTGTATAGCCGAAGGGTTAACTGATCCAACATTTTCGACATGATATATATACATACATATATATTATATATATATTTGCAAAAAGTGGTTCAAAGCTATAATGGGTTCAATAGAAAGAACCTAAAGGTTGAACCCGTCAAATTTATATTCTAGATCCACCTCTTCGTAATAGTGCACCCATCTTCTCGAAATCCTAGATCCGCCCTTGAGTTTCAAGCCATCCATCACATGTGATTCTCCAACGAGTTAATATATGTTAGCTTCTTTTTTTTCTCTCTTCGTGAAAGAGTTAACTATCTTTTTTAGATATCTTTTGGGATTAGTTCTAATGATCTATAATTTGAGATTTTGTAATGTAAAGTTTTGCTTCACCACTTCTTCAGAATGGAATGTGAATGTAAAATTTCTTTCTAGATTCAATTGAGACAGGTTTTGCTATGTCTTCCAAGCTTTTAAAAAAGTTCAACCGGTAAAAGTTCACCTAATTTAGAAGAGATAACAATCAATCAGAACAATTGTTTCATTTTGAAAGACAACGAAAGAGTTGAGATGCTTTAAAGTCGTACCAGGGAAAAAAGTTAGCAATTCGAAGATACCCCAAGTTCGACCATGATGCTCTAGGAAGAGGGTACATTAAATTGAATGAAGACAGAGTATCATGAATACATTTCTAAAAAAAGAGAACTCGTCGAGGGCAATTCTGCCAATTTATTTCAAATGAGTTTATTAAGATGATCTTGTCAACGTAATTGATTCATTTATTCTCCTTTTTAAACATTAGGAGGAAGCAGTGGGAAAATTTCCTGTAATGGGCAAAAGCTTGATGGAGCAACGCCAACACCGCTTAAGATCAATCCTGCATACGCCACTGAATACAGAAAACTTCAAATGTGAAGAATAGTCAAAGAAAGAGAGGTCGCAAAGTCCATATATGAAAGAGAGATACAATATTAATAGCTCTATTGTTTATTTTGACATGTCGAAAACAAGTTAGTACACTAAGATTCAATTCAGAATGGTAAGTGGTGAAGCTAGTTTTACAGGTCAAAGAACAGAGAAAAATATAAGAAACGTCAGGAACAACCTGATTACCCAGCTTGAGAATGACATAAGGATCACTGCTGTTGAAGTCCCGAATCACCAAACGCCTGCCTTTTACAACAGTCACTTTTAGCTGTCCAAATTTGTCTCCCATAATTAATTCATAAACGAACAAACCTGCATCCACAAGGTCCAATACATACACAGTAAATCCCTAACTGGAGATGAAACAATTGCTTATGTACAAAAATTGACTCAATCCTGTTACTCATTGCAGAATACATGCAGTTCTACTCATGTATATATAGATAAGGCAGATGAAAAAAATATTAAAGCAGCAAACTTTTCTCCAATTTCAGCGAAAACATAGAAACAGAAACTTAGCAAAAGAACACAGTAACCCTAGACTCCAGTATAGACAGACAGCAGAGAAATATCACCAACACGGTCAGTAATCAAAATCTTGAAAACAACATAAAAGAGACATCTTTAACTCACTTGAATTAGACCCAGATATCTGTCTCAAAAACTGAAGTAGCAAAAGGAAGATTCACTTGTTGCAAATGTTGCCTTGGTTTCTTCAAATGGTTCTGCTCGAAGATGCCAGATAGACCCAAGAAGGGACAAAGTTCCAAATGGACTGAACGTTTGTTCTTATTATGGGAGAGAATTAAGGAATTTACGTATCTACAATCTTAGTTATGGATTTCAACGGACAAACTATAGAATATTTATTAAAGTGTGTATAAGGCTATAAGCAAAAGGGGGATTGGGTTTCATTGTGTTAATTATATATAAGTTTGTTTAAGAGCACATATTTAGGACTCTTGAGGAGTCATTTCTTTTCTGCCCCATTTACAAGCTAATATTCACGCGCTTTCCCCTTGTTATGAATTTCTATTTTCTATGTATTTTCGTTTTTATATTCCTTTTTTACCCCTTTTTTTTTTTCCTTTCTTTGTGTTGTAGCTTCCGATCTTTTTAATGCACCGTTGTCTCGTGATGATTCTCATTCTTTCACCATTTTCGAGAGTTTGAACTGTAATATGAAATCATTCTCAAAAATTTCTATTTATAGTAATTATGGATCTAACTAAGGAGTGTGGGGAAGAATGGATAGAGAGATGCCCCTGCAGATCACTTAATGAACTGCAAAGATACATGAGTGGAGAATGATCACTGAATTTGATCGAGGTGCGTGATAAATGTGAATACCTTAGAACCGTTGATAAAGAAATCTATTTTAAATGAAATAAATACCTCCATAATAGGAAATAGAAATAGTTAGAATTCATTAAAGAGATCGAGAATCTACTGATGAGACAAAAAATTATCCATGCACCACGCACTAATATTTCTTTGATGTCTAATTTGATCGGGAATCATCCGAGTAAGAATACAAGCTTGTTGCTTTTTCTTTCCCTATACTTCAATTGAAGTTGCAGACTGATCCATTTATTCATTCAAACTATTTCTTTCCGAAATTTTGATAACAGTAATTCTTTCTTTTTTCTGGTAATGCTTGGATCACATGTTCTTTAAACCGAAAGTGGAGGCTCATTTGGTAAATTTAAAAAATATCTTTATCGTAAAGTATGGTTTTTGGTTGCCAAAATATTGTTTTAGGTAATTTCTCCATGCCAAAGGAGAGATTACGAGGGATACGAAGTCAATTCGAACTTCATATAATGTTAAGAAAGAAAGAAAATCATCTTCAAGTTTAGAATGTTTGTAATTGCATGCCAAAATTAATTGAAGCTCCAATTCGGGAAATGCCTACCTAAATATTTCTTTCCTCTTTTATATTATTGAACATTGTGCTAGTCTGTACAAGAACACCTATCAATTTACTTTAATTTATCATAGTAAATTAGTTTTCACTTTAATTACCAAGTTACCAATTACTCTAATATTTATCCTAGAGACTGACCTGTAACTACTTTATAAGTGATATTATTGTGAATATGAGTACGCAAAATTTGAACTCTTTCCGCTAATGTCTTCTCGATTAGCTCGAAAGGTTCTTCTTTGGTCGAATTTCTTCTTCTTCCTTTTTACATTTGCGGAATCAAAATGTTAGACTGAGTCATTTGTTATTGGCGATTGAAAGTCATTTGTCATTGGTGATTGAACTATGTTTGACCTCATTGACTTGAACCAGATCTTATATGCTAAATCATACCTTTGCGTTATATACATTAAAATGATATATTAAGTCAATTAATACTTTACCATGCGACACGTCACAGGAAACAGGTAGCGAACTTGCCACCACTGTTTCAACAGCATCTCTCTATAAAGAAAATGCTAAGAGGAAACACCCCTGTAAGCTGAAAAACTTGAACTGCACAAATTAACGAGTTATTTCTACACCCAATTATTTCTTAAATTGTAATTATTGCAACTCCCAAAAGTTACTGAAATTAAATTCAATGCAACCACAAGAAAGAACGAACGAAAGAAAGAAAGAAATAAAGGAAGGAAGTTTGAGTTTGCTTAATTAAATTTATCTACTAGTTGGCCATAAGCCCAGAAAGAGGGGTTTATGGCATAAAGGAGTGGGTAAGCTAAGGAATGACAATGATATATTCTCATTTCTAAAGTGGTGGGAGTTGTTGAACTGGGCGAAAACATATATTAAACCATATAAAAAGCTACAGCATTACGCTTTGGCTCAGTTACAACTCGTGGAATCATTCAAATAGAACAAGGAAGGTTCAGAGAAAACAGACTTGAGTGGCGCCTCCAATTCTCAAAGCTAATTCTTGCCACCTTACATTCACAAATGTTCAGATTCAGAAGCAAATAATCGTGAAAAGCATGCTAATGTTACTGATTCCATACACCACAAATGCTTACAAATCTACAGTTCACAAGAGAATACACGGATCCCGTAGAGGAGGAACTACGAACAGACGAAATCCTGTTCCTACTCTAAACAACAACATATACAAAATGAAGACAAAACTACAACAAAAACCGAGCTGCAACACAGGATCGGTTAGTTGTGTAAGTTAATGTTAACTTACTAAACTAGAGCTGTACAAGGCCTAAGACAACTGCTATTGACTCATATCAGTTACCTCTAGACTGCAGCTACACAACTGTGGGAATGCACATTCTTGTCCTACACCCTACCTTTTAATAAACCTGTGCACTACCATTTTCTATGTGGTAAACTGTACTTCATAAACTTATTAATGTCGCTGTTAATGGTATCATCTTCTTGCAGTAAGCATTTTGGGATGACGGTATTTGGCTTGATGCCAAGTGATCTCCAGGATGCTGCATCTCTACAAATCATTAGCCAGGATCATATGATGGCCTTCTCTGCTGGTTTACTTCCCTCCAGCCGATTTCCCTGCTCGACTTTTCCACGTGCTCTGCATATGACAATATTTATTACCACATTATCGTTCATCAAGAAATGTAAGTTTTCATTAAATAGTGAATAAGAATAAGCATTACAAGTAGCTCATCATCAGATAGTTCATCAGATTTTGTAGCTGAACTCCTTTCAGAGTCACCTCGATCAGTTGAATGACTGTCTGCATCATCTCCTAAACTCCCCTGAGAATCTGATCTTTCAGCATCATTTGACTTCTCCGTCGATACATCTGGCTGTGGTTTCTCATGTGAAGAAGAGATCTCCTCGTCCGATCCACGGGAATCCTGAGGGGTGCCAGGTTCATCCTCAAATTCTTTATTTTCCAAGGGACTTTCTTCTTTTACGGACTCTTCCATACCACTTGACCTATCATCATCATCAGCCCCTGGTTTCCCATCAGAGTACGATCTGTCATCCTTGTCAGACAGTTCGTGTTCAGACAAACTCCCATGCATACTCTCTTTCTGCTCACCTTCTGAATTACCCAGTAAAGCCAAATGTCAGATTAGTAAGCTAGGGGAGATCACGGATAACATAGCAGAATGGAAAATTTTGGAAACTGTCAAAATTATCGAACTCCTATCAGAACCTATTCGACCTCATCTGACTAATGCAGCAACTAAGACATAATGGAAGTTCTGATATTACTTGTGAATGTTGTAAATTTCGTCAAGTAATAAGAGTTAAGATAACTGAGCTTGGATCATTTGGCAAGAACACATCACATTCTAACCCAATGTTAATTTAAATGCACTTAAAAGGACACAACTTTGCTCATCAGGGAAAGGGATTCGGTGGATTGGGACAACTAAGTTTAAGAATGTCAGGTAAATTAACACAGGAGCTCCTAATGACAACCTCGTAAGAGCACCAACTAACATATGTGATCCTCCTCTTCCTCAGATTTTCAGCACTCGAGATGGCTCCTTTAGAAGACATCGACGCGAAGGTACACCCCTTTTTAAACTCCCCAGTAATCCAGACTGACTGGGAAAATTATCTCGTCTCTGCCTAGCATCTTGATGCAAAAGGACTTAAATGAGAAGCCACTGCCAATCCATAACTCCCATTTTTCAGAATCTTGATTTTCTAATGAAACAATTTGTTTGTAAAGCATTTCAAGAATTGCTTTGATATTCCTCGATCTTCCTATCCTTATTGTTTCTTCTGAAACTGAGGTCCCTAAGGATGTTTCCCTAATGTAATATTCCAAATCTGTTGGAATGTTATCACCTTGTCATAAAACTCCTTAGACGTCCCAAATAAAATGAAACTCTTTAGATGTTTGGAAAAGCGGATCTCAAAGTATTGTCTCCACGCCACTTGTGGCCCCCAAGAGCTAACCCTACTCCCATCCCTTGTTCTGAAAGATATATTGCTGGTACAATTACCCCACCCCTTCAGAATGTTTCTCCAAAGGCCACATCCAAAAGGAACTTTTCGCTTTCCTCTCAATTCTCAAAAACTAAGGAAAATTGGTAGCTTAGTTCTTTGGGTTAAAATTAACTTAAAGAAGTACTCTAAGTTTGGGGAAACTTTCAGATCCGACAAAATGAGGTTTTCATTCTTTCCTTAAAGAAAGAGATGGCACTGCTGCATTTCAAATCATCAAATGTCACCCATCTCTCCATTCAAAACTCCATCACTCTGATAGTTTGTCATTCTTTTATACTCCTTACCTCATGATATATCCAATTACCCTCATCTCTCCCTCTCCCTCTCTCTCTCCCCTTTCATTTGTTGACCTTTCCATAACAGAACATACCAAGCATCATACCGAAGGAAATGCAGCAAATGACTAATACGGTTAACTAGAATGATAACAAGAAACAATATATCAAGAAATTGAAAGCAGAAGAAACTCACAAGAGCTTTACCTGAGCTTAAATTCTTTTCCTTGTACTTTGAGGTTGCCAACGGCTTTCCTAAAAGCAGCCTTCCTCTGCTGAAAGAAGATTTTGATGGGCCTTTTTGTCCATACTTCAAGTTCTTCCTTGGAGTTCTCTTCCCTCGTACTTGTGATAATGGAGACCTGTCGGCAAAACAGATTGCATAAGGCAGATAGGAAACACACAAATAAATTATGTGCAATCAAGTTACAGAATCAAGCTCACATGTTATCTGTCTCTTTCTTTTGCTTGGAGGCAGCAAGAGCTTTATTTTTCCTCTCTCCAGATCTGCAGTAATTAAATGAAGAGGAAGCAGGTTAAAGATGCTTATAATTCCTTTTATGATGCAAATAAACAAGGCACCGAAAGACATAAGACAGAACTAAGAGGAACATATAAATGAAGTTATTCACTTATTCCCACAGCTTATTTGCATATGCATAAAACTTAAAAGAGCCACATTATGCAAAGTTAACAGTTCTTTCATGAAAGGCGTTAAAATTCAAGATTAGAAAAGAATTAAGCTAGTCGTCAACACTTAATA